AATACATACGAGAGAACTTACTTAATGGGAAGTTCCTGCCTGCTAAAACCGCAGTAAATGGGAAGATCAGCAGTTAACATTTCTACTTTCAAGACGAACGGATTACACGACAACTTGCTTTTCCCTTCCTAGACCCCATCAGAAAATTCAAGAAAAATGGAAGGCTTTTGCAAGGGCAATTGTCGAATATCTCCTTCATAGTGATAACTGCACACCAACGGATTTTAATATCTTTAAATCTCCACATTCAGGATGAAATATTCATATATTTTACCTGGAAAATGCGGACTTTTCGTAAGCGTTTCAAAGTGCACTTGCATGGCGATTTCAGCTTGCAGCTTATCGGGAAGCACCTTCAGAACTTGTTGATCGCTTAGTGATTGCTTATTAGCCCATAAATAGTCGAACCATTTGATCACTCGCATCTCCAACTGAAACGGCACATCTTCGCGAGCTTTACCTTGGGTATAGTCTTGAGAAAGCACTGACCTGCTTGCTGACCCTCCTGAGCTCCATGTACTGCTTAATGCCGTCCATTTTGTTTTGAAACTCCGTTCGAGCAGCACTCATATTGGAAATCATGCTGAAATAGTTGAGGTTTAGCTAGTACTTCCTACTGGCTCTTAGGGTTTAGGTTACCTTCCGACGTTACCGACGATGGTAGCGAAAATGAGCACTCCACACATCAGATCCAACGTCACAAATAGGTATTCCACATTTTGTACAGGAGACGGGACCTACACAAAATGGCTTGTAAAGGGGCAGATAGATCAACTTGGGAATTAGGTCACCTCTCCGATAGTCGTCAGAATTAAAGTTGACCAGTAGAAGCTGTAGATGTACCGGCGAAGAAGTGTGTCCTTGACGTTCCTGAACGTCTTGAGATTTCGGTGGTGTTCAAGGGCAGTCACCTTCATGTTGTGAAACTCACTCGGGAAGACTCTGCTTATTCAACGGACCGTATACCCAGCCGTCCGATCCCAAACCGATCATCTCAGAAATCCAGAAGTAGAAGCATGCGTTCCAGTGAATGATGACTATGATGTACCAGACGACGCAAAGTACTCGAAAGGCGTTCGGCATTGAACTCCTGAAAGAGTTTTAAGACCTCAGTAGCCACTATCGCAAGATACGGGGGCATTGCGGTGGCATGCATTTAAAACAGCGTAAAACCTATCCTTTTTGTTGGAAATGGAACTATGCCTCAGGCAGAGCAGGAGAGACTCCAAGATGTGTGAGCATTTTCCATTTCCCTATGTCCCTGCTCGCTCCTAGGCTCACTCCTGGAGGATACCCCCGGATCTTGCGATAGCGCCCCTCGTTGCAGTCATCTGCCGTGTAGCCGCATTTTATGGGCCCCGTAGTACAAAGGAGAGCACACATTGGGAAATGGTGGATTACCTGGTTTCTGTTCGCTCCATACAGTCCTGCACCCTGTCAATACGCAGGAGGCGATTTATACGGACAACTGGAAACGGCCGAAACCACTGGAAAGGCCACGGCCACCCTAAATTGATGGTTCAGTGTGAGCTGAAAAGACCGTTAAAGAAGAGAAGGCTTACCGAGAATATAATCAAGTGGTATGATGCTTATTATATCATACTTGAACTGTTTGCTCTCAAAGTACTGCTTCCTGATTTTCTCGATGTCTCTGACTACGAGACCTTGCTCGAGGAATCCTGAACAACAAGGATTTATAATTACAATTTCTCAAGATATTTCTTCGAAACTAATCCAAACGAGAGACGCACCAGTGCGGGTACGAACGAAGATGTCAAGCCAATAGATGGTGTCCATGACGAGATCAAGAGTCGCCCACATGAGTCGTGTCCACCACCAGCGCGACCAGCCCATGTCCGAGTAGAGCTCAATCATGGGCATCACCTGAAAACTCGAATTGCGTTTGCTTCTCTTCGGGGTCGAATTGCGTTTGCTTCTCTTCGGGGAGAGGAATAGGGAGCACGAGAAAGAAGATCAGCATGCACTATTCTCGAGATAGAGTCAAAGGGTCCCTCCGGAGTACCTGGGTACTCGACTTTGATTATAATACATAGAAATTAGTATCAGTCTTTCTTGCCATGACAATCATGACTCGGTTAACCATAAGACCGGCCAAGTGAATTGGATCATCACATAACCTGTATAAATAGATTTTTACAAGGGCTTTTTGATCAATGACAACACGATCAAGCCAAACTTGGTCGTCTCTGAAGCACCTCGGCAAAACGTCAAGAAGCATAGTTTTCATGATGTAATTTGGTCCATATCGATGGCCAGCGTTATTCAGAGATTGACATCTAATGGGAAGATTTCTCAAAGTTCCAAGTCCGTTTGGTAACAGAGGAGGCAAGAGGAGCTTGCCTCACACCACCTGTGTAATCAGAATGGCACTTTCAAATGCATATGGTCTGAGGACCGAATTCTAGGACATATTGTTTTTCCAAATGTTCCTAGAGCCGATATCGCTGCACAGATTCATTTCAGAAAATCGGATGGGGTAAAAAGTCTCTGGAAGGAAATGGAGCAATTAACCAAGATCGGGAGGAAAAGAGCAATTAACGAAGAACTTTTTTATACTCCAGAACTCTCAAAGCAGAATTCAGGAACTCCTTATTCAAGCCCAGCATCGGATTCCGATCGCATTCATTGATCATTGGTACACAGTCTTTTCATTGGTACACCTGGAGCTAACATTCATTCTAAAATTTGACGAAATTTTTCAAAGGTTCACTCACATGACTAGCGTAGCATTTTTATGGGCTCTATTAGACCTGCTCCAGCAAAGGTTGCTCAGAGAGCATAGAATCACGTACGAATCACATGACCCATTATCAGCTTTTATTGTTAAGTTATGAATTCTTTTCTACGTCTATCTTATGGAGCGTTCATAGTTGGCGATCGTACGTGCGATTAGGCGATTAGGCTATTAGGTGGTTAGGTGAGCAGTCGATCAAGTGAGTAGTGGAGTAGGCGAGTAGGCGATAAGGAATTATTCGTACAGATGCTGAATCCCGCCGTGAGCGATCGCTAATCGCCTGATCGCCGTGCGATCCGCAGCTTTCTGAACGCTCCATTAACACGGAATACTTGTCCAGGAAAAAGATAAAGAACATGAAGAAAGAATAAGTGAAATCACGAAGTGTAAGGTGTAAGCACCTTCTTCACCATCACCATAAAACTCTTCGCCTATTTAAAAACCCCTCCTATCATATATCATACCATAACTCCTCATATCCTATCCTTACAGAATCTTTCACCACAGAAGTACTCGCGCAATGAAAACGATCACAAACCTGCATGTTCATCAACTGGTCGTCGTTGCACTCCATGGTGATATTTGGAGGGATGGACGTTGGACTCGCACACATAGGCACTCCCGTCGGCCCAATGAGATCGACGAATACTTGGCGGGCAATCACGAACAGCAAGTTGTACACGAATGCCACAGAGACCTAAATAAAGAATCAAGCAGTGTTCAGTAGCAATATTCGCTATGATCCTGGTTTAGAAATTCTATGTGGTCCATGAAGTTTCCTTTCATGCAGGCTTTTCTTAGAAGGAACGTCGAATCTTTCTGCTGTAAAGGACCCCGGCTTACATTTCTGATGTCAAAATTTTCACGGAGAGCCTAATAATCTGTGTAAAAGCCAGCGTGTTGGCGTGGATATCGCATTATAATGCTTTCGAATTAATTAGTTCCGGTAAGGATTTCACGTGAAATTCGAGCTAACCATAAGCCATGTAGAATCACTATAAGTACGAAAGGTATAAATAACTTGTAGGCACAATTCACCATGTTTCAAGAAAGGTTAAATTCTCCAAGCGCTTTTAATGGAGGTTTGATATGAAAAGATAGTTTTTGAGCAAATACGAGTAGGACGAAATTAGCTTGCAAAGTAGGACCTTGTTGTAATTACCAATTTCTGCGTTTCTATGAAAGCAAAAATAAATAAAACATTTGCCGTTGATCAATCCCTTTTTGGGATGCGGCACGCATTCTACTTCCATTTGTACATTCGTAGTGGCGTTTGAATGCGATGTGGCCTATACAATGACTGTCCAGCCGATGTTTTTATCCTCCCAGACAAGTCTGGTACCAATTAACCCCGGAGGGATGGAAGGCTTGGTTGGCCCGGGCGACTCACGACCCAGGATTTGATCCCCGGACCGCTCGCGTGGTCGTGCCACTTGCCACTACACCACTTCCGCCCTGTGTTTTTGTAGTCCTTCTGATT